TTGTTACGCGTCTGAAACAGGAAACACGTAAATGAACTCACTCAGTCTGTCTAAAGTAGTTAAACCGTCACAATGTGCATTTAAAAAAGCTAGTTTCACTACATAATTCACTTTTTCTGTTCTCTCCTGCAGCTCCTGTACCCACACCACAAACCCATACACTGATCTACACCATCATAAAACCAACGGCACTTTTAAGAGCCAAACTCTCCCTATCTCCCTATCTAGCTCTCTTATATCTATCATCTATTTCTTTATTCACCCTTCAAGGTTCAAGGTTCTTTATTGTCAATCTGACATAGCTACAGAGTAATTATGCAGTTGAAAATCTTATGTCACAGGCTTCTCCAACAATGCAACATAATAACATAACATAATAACAATAAGAGCAAGAGCAATACAAAAATAATAATAGTTATAAAAATGAAATAAAGTTATGATGTGGAATAGTGCAGTATGAGTCTATATACAAGTTATTGGAATGATATATATATATTAGGTATTAGATACATACTACTGAGTAGCAGTTGAATGTTTGATGTTGTTTCAACAGTTCAATTGTTTAACAGTCTCACTGCCCGCGGGAAGAAACTGTCTCCGAATCTTCTATCTATTCTGTGTACTTCTCTACTTTCCTGTGTTTGTCAGTCTGTCTGTTTGTAATCCTGTGTTAATCATGCCAGGTGGGTCTACAAAAAAGACATGTCCCTTCTGTCAGAACATTTTATTTTGTGCGCAGAAGATCTGTGCACATTGCCTTAAGGAGCAGCCAAAAAAGCTGCGCCTTGAGAAGAAGCTCAAGAAGTTTGATGAGAAGCGAGAGGATTGGGTGTCTGGGCGGAAGAAGAACCACAACATTGCTTCCATCAAGGATGAAGCCATTGTCTTGGTATGTACACTTTTTACTGTATGTTAATGCCCGGACACACCAAGCTGACACCAAAGAACTGACACAGACGGACCCCCGACTGTTTGCCAATATATTGGGCCAGGATAAAGTTGAATGTTGTTTTTATATACATTTATTTCTTAATGATGTTTGTATCTTATTAACCAATATACACTTTGATATCAACTTCAAATATAGATATTATTGCAAAGGTATTATTTAATATTCTCTTTTCTTTCAATTTTAAAACTACTCTTATCTTAACTTTCACAGCCAAGGGACACTATTTTAATTGAACTTTCACATTTAAATAAACAGAGCACTTCCTTCACTTCCATGTTGTGTTCCATTCTTGCTCATGTACACACTTTTAGACCTTAAAGGTAGGGTAGGTACGTTTGAGAAACCAGCTCGAGATCACTAGAATTTGAAAATACACAACCGGAGAAAATCTGCCACTTCCTTATAGAGCCCCTCCTCCAACACACACGAACGCGCACATGACCAATGAGGGCACGAGATAAGTTTGTGCACAGATGGAAGGCTGACAGGCAGGTAGGCCATCCAGTTACTTTAGCCGGGCCGGCTAAAATGATTGGTCGTGCTTTTTACAGTACTACGGCTTCCACAGATGATATTTTTTTATGGATTTTTTGTCAAAGCACTTCAGATATTCATTGCTATCGGGATGTTAAGAGCATTCCATGGAATATAACAAAAAGTGTATCTCGAGCCGGTTTCTCAAACTTACCTACCCCACCTTTAATAAGACTACATCATTGTATGTTACTACTCTATATTACTCTTACGACTGCATCCACAACATACGGGAACGTTTTACATTGCAGCACGCAATTTCAATTTCAACAGTGTCAAGCTATGCTTGGATTGTGTTACATTTTTAATTATGCAATACTCATTGTGTACACAAGTGTTAACTGTTAATTGTTGAGTGGTCACACATTTGCATCTTATTGTACTTTAACTTTAAGATTATCAGGGTTTGAACTGGGACTCAGGATACTGATTTATTTGTATTTTGTGTTTGTCTATAAAATATTTTTCTGCTTCTACTGTGTAACCCTTCCTGGTAAATACATGATTCTGCAAAAGCTAAACTCAGCATCTAGGTTTATGAATGGCATACAACTAGATGCTGTCATCAGTAATGTTGTAGTTATATAGTTGTTTCCTTTCCATTTCTTTAAACAGTAAATATATTATTTTGTCATTACAGCTTGAGAAACTCCATGCCATTGGCTTTAAACCAGTGCTGCTTCTTGGCAAGGAGACCAGGAAGAAGGACGTCAAATGTGCAATCCTAACCCCTCGCTGCACACTGACCGCCTATGCCCAGGATTACCTTGACAAGATAGGCACTTTTTACGAGTACCTTTGTGAAGGTGAGATGCTTGCACTATGTCTTCACAGTTCACAGTATTGTGTACACAAAATGTTTGTATCAATGTTAAACTCTTCTAGGGATGGTTCACCCCTAAAACATGTTCAGTCAACGAGTCCTTACCTCCCTGACAGTATAAACGTTGGAGAGCTTAACATTTCCTTATAACCAACACAGTTATATGGAATGAGTTTGGATCAACTCATTTAATAATGTCAGTTAAGTTAACAACAACTTACAGCGACTGTTTTCAATCCATCCAAATCTTGTGGGACAACAACTTGATCCAGTATTTATCCTTTGATACAGCCAGAAAGCAGTCATTCGAGCCATTTATTTGGGTTTGGCAAACTATATTTTTGTGAGACAACTAACACACATCCTTTCTACCTGTTAACTGTCACTATTTTTAGCTGAGAAGTATTACAAAAGTTGAAAGTAATTGCAAAATATTTAGGGATATGGACAACGTTTGACTGTTTATTATTTTAGCAAACTACATACAATAAATACATTTTTAAACACTGAGTATGTAGCCTAATGAGACATGGCTTACTCTGCAGAGGGGACTTGTGGACATTTAACTGTTATTTATCAGGAAATAGGTAGGCAAGTTTACTTGAATTTGAAAAACCATTTTGGGGTATTTTGCTACCACTTGCGCATTCATTGTATACAAATTGAAAGTTGTAAAGTTGTTAATGTCAAGGTAGTTGGGTTTGATGACTGAAATGTAGTTTTAGGCTTGAGCCATCCCTTAAGCAATTTCCTTTTAGCAAACCGTTCCTAAACTGTTTCCTTTATCAACGCCCAAAAGGGAGAAATGTTTTGAGGTTAATGGTAAGAGCACAATACATGAAGACGATCCCAGTTGACCACATATTCAGTTTGGCAGTTCTGTATTAAGGTCATGTTTCTCGGGTTGTAAACAAAAGCAGTTATCCAGTGCATCCAGAGGTCCCTTTACATTACATTTAGCAGACGTTTTTATCCAAAGCGACTTGCTACTTATTTGATTGCACTTATGCAAAACACGTTTGCGTCAGTCTTATAAATTCTGAACAAAATGTGTGGATGTAAATAATGTAAGGGAACATACATGCACACGTCTATATGTTGTCTACCGACAAATTGACATGTCACATCACATGGAATGTAGACACAAATCGGAAGAATAATATCGCAAAAACAAAACCATAAATGGTTGACTGGATAAATACCACTATTACTGCTATTAACTTTGACTGCACACAGTCCTATGACATGACGAGTATATTTTTTACCCTGTCTGGAAACATACCTGAACACGCTGTATTTCTTATTTCTAGATATATGAGTTAACCTCTTTGTCTTAAGCAAGTCAAGACCAACATTTGTTTAACTTGCACAGGTTGGACACAGGACTCCACTGGCCAGGCGGTTGCGGAAGATCCTGAGGAAGAGACAGTCACGCTGAACCTCACACCCTGTGACCCATCTGAACCAGAAAACAACTGGCAGGAGGCAGGGACGTCAGAGACAGAGACAAGCACTGTGCAGGTGGAGGTGCTGAAGACCCCCCCCGTGAAGCAGTGTACCACCAAAGAGGTGGGGCAGGAGGAGCAGCCCCAGCGGGATGATGTGAGACAGGCTACCACCACGGAGGGTCCAGGTAATAAAATAGATAGATCGAATCGGAGGGATGAAACCCTCTTTAATGGTCACACATGCAGAGCACACAGCACACACAGTGACATTTGTTCTCTGAGATTTGCATCTTTTATATTTATAAAAGTCAAGAGTGTTTTCCGATATCTTCCTAAAAGATTATTGTAGGTAACTTGTTGACAAGTCATGCTTCTACAATATCTCAAAACACCTAATTGCACTTCTTGCATTTTTGGGAATAATGATTGTTCCAATAGGTTAATAATAACAACAATAGCTTAATCTAAATAACAATTTCACCTACAACTTCATAAATATGAAAGGAAAATGGGATACTTGGGTATGTGTATATCCTTAGGTACTTCGATATAAATAAATATTAAACATTTAGAAAAATACAGTCTTTCATTCCTGAACAAACATGTGGTTACTATATGGTTATACCTTTTTCACACAAAAATACAAAGCAACAGCAGGCTTACTATACATTTGCACAAAATAAAACTCCTATGTCATTTTGTTTACACACAGAAAGGGTCTTACATTGTAGCGTTGGGCAGTAGGTCGATTACATCAAATTGATTTGGCTCTTGTCCATATATTGTACGAGAGGTTGATATCATTAATATTGTGGTCTACCTAAAGCAATCCCTGACCATGGGGGTAAACTTCGAAGCAACTCATGCAACAACGTCATGCAGCATATTTAAACTTTATACTCAAGAACTGCATTTAGATATGACACTGTCCCATAATGAACATACGGGGAATAAACTTAGGTTTTTGAATCAAAGTTAAATTCATTTAACGTTACAGCACAACATGTTAATATTTATCAAACTATTCCTTACACATAAAGTATGGAGTCAATTATATAGGCAAGACAACAAAACACCTAGACTTCATAGATCAACCTCAATTAAATCTCAATAACAAAAAAATATCTGTACCTAACACCGATTGCATCATGTGATGCTGCATTTGTGGGATGTATTTTGAAACTTGAGTTTAAGCTTAACTTGGTATACTGTATGTATATAGTAATATTTCTTCTTCAACCCACAGCTGTCAGGACAGGGTCCGTGAGGGACACAGTACTTGGTCCTAGACGCAAAAAGAAAAAGTCAGGTATGTTAACAGTATTAAGTATTTTGACTGATTATAAACATGTGCATGAGTTGAATTGATTGGTATTCTAATAAATCTATCGACATGTACTTTAGCAAAGTGCATGTAAACGCAGTGATTGATGCTTCTTCAGTGAGTTAACAACGCTATATTGTGACTAATAACTATAACTGATACATTATCCAAAAATCATTATCCAAAAATCCAAAGGGCTTTAATTGTCTAATTAGACTAAAATACATACAGTCATAGTTGATAAGGTGGTGATGAGAATGCTAGGCAGTAAAGGAAGCAGCAGTGCAGTATTTTCTTTGGTCATCTCAGGCTCTGCAGTGGTGTGGCCATTCAAACAAGCATCCCATTTTAGGACTGAGAGCAGCTTGGTTCCATTTCAATGATGTATACAGTAACTTTTGACCAGTGATAACAGTGTGATCACTATTCATCGTGCAAGTCTGGTTGCTACTTAAGTGTTCATAGTTGTATTTATTTTATTTCTAATATGACTAATACTGTATGTGGAACCTGCTTTGATGTTCACAGATTGCTCCTACCACACTCGCCTAGAAACTTTCCCCATCAGGAGTGTAATAAGAGAAAGAATGAGAAAGGTTAGACAGGAATAAAAGTAATGCATAGGGTGTGCTTTATGATTTATGTGATTTCCACCACAATTGTTTGCTAAATAGCTAATATGCGTTTGGTCTTTCCGAAATTAGAGATTTGTTTTCTTCTCTTGATAGGGAAAAGCAGAAATGTTGGTGGAGTGGGAGCCCTGTCCAGTATGGTATATATCTTCCAGTTACTTGGCTTCATGTCATCTGATGTAGTCCCATGTTGGAGAACAAACACATGATATTTAACAAATGCAAAACATCCAGATCTACCACGAGTCCTCTTATATATTTCACTGCTGTTATTCTGAAGCAGCTGAAGTAGTGTAGGAACAAATGATTGTTTAACTTCATTGTTGTTAATGTATGTATTTTGGTTTGTTTTTATTGTTTGTTTGAAAATGTGTTTTCATTTCTATGTTCACTTTTTCTAAATGGTGGTGGTCGTTAATAAATGGAAAATGAAACATTTACTTATATAAATTCAGTTATAAGATGTTTGCTTCACACATGTTTTATGCTTTTCGGAAAGACGAAACCAGTACCTGTAACTAACATTATTCCATTCTGTTTTCAGTGGCAAGGAGTGGGCTCATTCCTGGCAGCCGAAGAATTCTCCGGGATAATGCATACACATAAAAACTGTTATTTGAACTCCAGTTTTGTTTTTGCACGTTTATTCTCTTATTTATATGCTCCATTTGAGTCATATTGAATATGTTTCTATTAGAAATAAGATGAAAACCTCCACCAAAATGCATTTGACTTTTTAGGAAATTACAGTTGAAATACTACATGATTTCATTGTCAGTGATAGGAACACCATAACCTATATTAAGCATATTCATGTGTGAAATCTGGTACGTTGCCATCCACTGCCTTATCTAATTTGTTTAACTTCCGAAGTATAACGCTTTGGAGGTAGGCTTGCATATCATTTAATTATAGGCCTAATTAAAATGATCCTGATCTGGATCACTGTGGTTTTGCTACTACATTTGAAAGCTTTTGGGGACATATTTAAATGCTTGAGATATTAAAATGGTAGTGATTACTTTGAATTTTTTTTTTCACTTATTGAAAACCACAACTCGAGTATCAGGATGGTCTTCATCTGGAAAGTTATCCACATCTCATCCCCACGTTGTCATGGCGACCCTTTGTCACGTCACAGATACGGTACCCGAAGTCAGATCGCCACCCGGAAGTACTAGACAAACGATACTGCCGTTGCAAAGGAGGCAAAAGTGCACATTTGTATTGTATATTTTTTTAAACACGGTTTGGTTTCGGATCGCGCCCGATTGACGGCTTTCTGAAAGGGAATGGAGCCTATACGGCCGTCAGCGCAAGACAAGTCGAACGAGTCCACGCATACACGCCGGAAGAACTACAAATATGTCAGCTCTGTGTACCTCGTAACGATGTTTAGGCGCGTATCTAATGGGAATTGTAGTTTGTAGCGCTGCTCTCATATCATTTCAATGGGTTAACTTTCTATTCTTCTGTGTTTTTGTATGTTTTGAGCTGAGGTGCCAACTCAACATACAATAGCCTCATCCCAATACCCCTCCTCGACTCCTCTCTTCCCCTCCTCCGGGACTTGACCCGGAAATCGATCAAGACACGCCATTTTGAAGGACGTCCCAATAGCTGAAATGCACACGGAGGAGTCGAGGAGGGGTGAGGGAGGAGGGGTGCGGGAGGAGACGAAAGGGAGGATACACGAGAGCAGACTACGCGGAAGTGTTTTCACTACTTGCGTATAAAAGCCCCGCCCCCACCTTCACAGCTGGTCGATTTCAACACAGGAAAACGGAGAACTGGAAGAATGAGTGGAAAAGCGTCACATAAATGTATAAGTGCTCACAGCTCCGTGGGAATTATTATGTGCAATTCATTTCTTAAGGTTATACTAACAATTTAAGTCATGTTTAATGATCTTGAACGTCACTAAAACATAGCTATTAAGAAAGCTATTTCATAAATGGCTAGATCTTGATAAATACAAATTATTTGTTTTGTTTTGTGTTAAAATATTCAGGAGTTAAATTATTTAAAATTCACAGTCCTGAATGTTGGTTTCTGGTGAATGTGGGGATCTACAGGACACACATTTTCAGAGTAAAGGCTTTCACATTATTATAATTAAAATGTTATTGAAATGTTGAAGGGTTATTCAGTTAAACCCAATGAGAGGGGATACAGCTGTGCACATGTCATCATTAACAGACGTCGTTTAAGAGTGACGTTTGAGTGAACGAGGACATCCCAATTAATACCTGAGGACTCCTCTGTCCTCGCGTCTCCTCCTCGTGTCTCTCGCTCGCATCTTACGGAGGCGGAGCTAAGACGCAAGGAAGGGACGCGAGTGAGGGAAAGGAGGAGTCGAGGAGGGGTATTGAGACGAGGCTAGTGTTAAAAAAAACATATAAAGCCAGAAATGTAGGTGTAGTCATGGACTCTGACCTGAGTTTCAACAGTCACATTAAAACAATTACTAAATCAGCCTACTATCACCTAAAGAACATATCTAGGATTAAAAGACTAATGTCACAGCAGGATTTGGAAAAACTTGTCCATGCTTTTATCTTCAGTAGACTATTCTTATGTTTATTTTTCTTATTCTATAAGTAAAATAAAATGTATATGTAATTGCACATTATTATTTATAGAAGCCTGTTTCCCCAATAAAAAAGACTTTCCCAATGAAAAGTCATAATTATGAGATAAAAAAAGTCATAATCTTTTGAGATAGAAAAGTAGAAATAATGAGATAAAAAGTGTGCTGGAGATTTGACAAATGACAGAAGCACAAACACTGTTTGTTTGAGTTTAGAGCTTTGTGCCCAGCTCTCCGCCACCATCAACTCTGAAGATTCTCTCCCTGCCCGGCTCATTTAACCTTCTCAACAAATATACATGTACACAGTGGCATAACAAGGTTATGATTGGCACCGGTGCAAATATTGTTTTGGACCTAATTCATTTAGGTTGCTTGGTTACTTTGAAGACTGCGTGAACCCGCCAATGCCATTGGGCCCCTGGCCGGCCCTGGGCCCCGGTGCGTTGCACCGGCTGCACCGTCGATAGTTACACCACTGCATGTACATCTATCAACATGAGGAGGCAAGTGATGTCTCTCATAGTGGAATCTGGTTCTCTCATAGTGGAATCTGGTTCTCTCATAGTGGAATCTGGTTCTCTCATAGTGGAATCTGGTTCTCTCATAGTGGAATCTGGTTCTCACTAGGTCTGAGGTCACCTGGACGTACTCAAGAATGACGCAGGAGCACAAAGTACCAATGAACTGGCCAGATGTATGGAGAACCGGGATGACTGGAAGCGACGATGGAGGGCTCGTCTGAGGACGACCTAGAGAGAGGTCTGGTCAGGCAAGGAGAAGCCATAGATCTCGCCTCAGGTATTCTGACCCTGATATATCCACTATGCTGTTATTATCTCAAAGAATGGAGGCTTATTTCCATGGTTTCCTGGGCATCGCTGTTATAGGCCCGAAAGAGACGGAGGGAGAGTTTACATATTGTACAGAACCGTGTGACAGCCCTGGGGCTGCTGCCTGTTCCTCTCAGAGAGAGAAGAGGTCAATAATCCAGCAAAGAAATACAAATCAAATTCAAGTTAAAGTAATTCCCCAACAACAGCCGCCTCATACATGACCTCATATGACCTCATTTCATGCTGGACAGCTGCGAGGTGATCAGGGGGTCTTTTATGGCAGCACGACTGTAGCGCATGCACACTTGTAAAAAAGAAAGTAAAAGAAAAATAGTTTCTTTTTTTAATATGAAATAACAGTCCATTCTAAGCACAGTAGCCTACAGTATGTAGCATAGTTATGCTTTTAACCCTCCTGTTGTGTTTGGTTCAAATTTGACCGATTTACTACTTTCATCAATCATAACTTTTTTGTTTTACATTCGATTGCATTAAGGCTTTATGATATCCTCCACAGTAGACATTTGAACATATTAAATTGCTGATCATACTTTCATTGAACTTTGGATGATTTAGTCAACTTTGAAACACCCATGGTGTTCCCGCCATAAAGACAAGGAATTAGTAACCATCCGGATCAGATCAAACACACACACACACACACACACACACACACCAATTTGAAACATTTCCCGCTCTTATGTGCCCATCCCCCTGGCACACCCAATACATGTTCAGTGTCTATTCTTTGTATAGTTACTGCAGTTGTTCATGTATACCAGTAGTCTGATACAATATTTACAGTTTGAAAGGGTGTTAAATTACATTTGGTGATGATTAACGGTTTTTGTGTTAATGTAATAGCAGTTAAAACAGGACCGGTCAAATTTGACCGCGAACACCAAAGTAAGGGGGGGGAAACGAATACAATAGGAGGGTTTTAATGTAACCATTGCTTATGACAGTGATGATATTTTAAATCAAAAAACATATTCCCTCAAATGTGGAAGCTCTGGGTGCCATACAAATGAATAGTTGATATTTTTTTAGGGCCACAACTTTGGCACTAGAGCACCTAGTGTTATCAAACGCATTTCAATGGTGAAACTATCCAAAAATATTCCATATGACAATATTTTCCACTACGATGAAAGGCGTGTAAGCCAACAAACCTTATTCTGGTTCCATCATGGGTAACCCCACCCATCCTCTCCACCTGCAGCTGGACAGACAGATAACCCCACCCCACCCCTCTCCACCTGGACAGACAGGAGCTCCTTCTCCAACAGACTGCTGCAGCTCCGCTGTCACAGAAACCGATACAGGAAAACATTCCTGCCCACTGCAATAACTCTGTACAACAAATCACCTCTGGCTGGAAGAGAACTCTCTGCTCCATAGCTTCTCTCTTCACTGTACATTTGACATATTCAGTGTAATATTTAATATTCCATCTGTCACATACTTATGTAAATATAATACCTTGCTTTATATCTTGTTATTGCTCATTTGTAAATTCAACATGTATATTTTCTTCTTTATTTCTTGTCTTTTTATTGTATAATGCCATGTGTTTTAATGCTGCTGCAATGCAAAGATTTCCCAAATTGGGATCAATAAAGTTCTATCTTATCTTAAACTAACAACCAGTGTTCCAGATGAGGATCATCTCTTTACAAAAATATTCAAGTGCTAACCCATATTGTTACTTCTAAATGAATTTATTTCCGAACGCATTATAATGCAGTGTGATGTAAACAACAAAAAGTACCACAGAAGTATGCTTAATTTATATTTATTCATCAATCAACCACATCAATAACATTGTTTTTAAAACAATAAAATGGTCCTCTCTGGCAATGATTTACTTATGTGTTTCACCACAATACAAGTAAAAGGCCACCATAAGGGTGTATGTTGACTCTAGAGCGTGGGGTTAGTCTAACATGAAAAGCATGGACAACAGAACATAAAATCAAGTTATGCAAAAGGTTATAACATACAGTATTAAGAAATCATACAACACAACCATTTTTTTAGGATTTAACTATGTATATTAAACATGTACATTCTATGTGTAAATCAAATATAACAATTTATAACAATGTATTATTTGGTTTTGAGAACAACAATGAGGTGATTCACCAAATAAACTATTTGTTGTTTATCTCAATGTCCCTAATTATACATCCTAAAAGACTGTGCATTGTACATGTTGATTGAAGTACTTCAATCAATCAGGTTAATAGCTGGAGATCAAAAAGGAAATATAACTGACAAAGCAATTAAAGCAAGTAACGCAAAACAAACAAAAATGAACAATTGGTCACCACTTGTTGGAGTAGAACACTTCTGCTACGCGCCGTTCGTTGAATGAGGCTGGCCTCTATTAAATCAGAAAGGAATTGAAAACACCGGAATCAAAAGTTATAACAATTTTCTGAGTTTACTGGTAGGAAATAGAACAAGTATACAAGTTATACAGAGTACTCCGGGTACTCCGGGCTTTCAGATTTGTGATGCGATTCGGATAAATGCATCGGGATCAAACCAACTCATCAAACCAAAAAGAAATTGGACTTCAGGTTTGTGATGCGATTCGGACACAGATATCGGGATCAAACCAACTCACCAAACCCAAAAGCATTTTACACTCAAAAACATCAGTATTTCTATCTATTTTTGGGGCGGAGATTTGTCGATTCTTCCTTCCCACTTTTCTCCCAAGCGAATTAGAGAACCCCTGGGGAGGAGCTGTTTAAGCTGATCACCTCCCCCAAGTGTCCTGATTGGCTGGATTCGCTTCTGGTGAGGTCAATAGTTCTCACCAGGACTTGAAATTCCAAAGTCCCCTAAGGTCAAAAGTCAATGTTTATCTCTACCTTATCTTACTCTACATTCCTTTCCCAGGGGATCTTTTCACCTAAACTATCCTCCTTCAGACATTTAAACTTTTCTCCACCTATTTAACGATGTCTTTAATGACTTAACAACCGCATCTGGCTTTTAGGGATGATAAGAAGGATGTTGGTGTGTGACACACAGAATCTCTAAGCCAGTGAATTTAAAAGTGAGAATAACATTCTTTTTCTAAGTGATTATCAAAACCCGTTTGTGATTACCTAAAACAGTTCAAACAATACATGTTCACTAAAATACAGTGTAGAATCATATCTTTTTACTTCAGAGCAAAGCTGTTATTGGCCTGCAGTGTAACAGGTGCAGTCATATAAAGTTAATGACAGGTAAATCCTATAAGAGATCGAAAATAATAATGCATAGGCATCCCGTTCTGGGAAAAAAGGGAAAGACCTCCTGCTCTTGGACAATGATGTGCTCACCAAGGTGTTTGGTGACCAGCAAGATATACTTGGACATTTAGGAATTTACATTCTAGTGTTTCAAAAAGGATCAAAAGTGAATGGTTCATTGCTCAGGATGCATTCCAGGGACGCTGAGCATTTTGTTCAATAACATTTAAGTTGTGTACAAGTGAAATGTTTGGCCTGATGCTGCGGCATAGGGAAAAGTCATATGGTCAACATATTCAAGGGTGATCTTCCATTGAGGAGTATGAATACAATCTCTAAATATAAAGTCAGTAAAGTATTTACATTTCTGATAGCACATCAAGTCTTGGCGGATATTCGTGCTTGAGAGCAGCAGCAATCTGGGGAAATACAGAGAAACAAAAAAGAGGGGCAGATCAGAACCCAAATTTGAGGTTTTTGAATACACAATGTATGTTTAGCATTAATGACTACAAAAGTAACAGCAACATGTCTAGGTTGAGGCTAAATCAACAAAGATACTGTACATTAATTCCTAAGTAAATTACCTAAATGATGTTTCCTTCTTCATCCTCACTGGTGTCTGGACTGCTTAGGCCACTTTGACTTTCCTCTTCATGTTGAAGGAAAGAAGCATCAGGACCTAAAGCAGTCTTGTACTGCTGCAGTACCACCTGCAACCTCTCCGACGCCTCAGCATGCTTCCTTCTTAGGGTGCACCCAAGTCCTACATTCCCCTTGTCTACATCTGAAAATACACAAAATATTGTTATATGGACATACTATACAGTAAGATTGCTTCACAAGGCCAGAGCACTTCAATGGAGTATATTCTCTCCCATGTACATAAAGATGATTGTCACTGTCAAGGGACTTCATTATGTAAAATGGCCGGGTCGAATGGGCAAAGGCCATTATACTCCATCCAATTTCTGTGACCAAGAATGATTTGGGCTGACTTTTTTCCTTTAAAACTCATACTTTACAAGGTAGGTTAAGTTTTGCTTTCAACTTACCTTCCTCAGCCACCTTATTTTTTAGAGCAACTACCATGTTCTGCAACCATGTGCAATGCTGCGCCATCTCCAACAATAGGATGCCTTTCTCCTCTTGCAGTCTCCGTGTAAGCATCACTTGATCCAGTATCTTTTTCTTGGCTGTAAAGTTAGCTAAAATCCAATCACAGTTATGTATACATGAGTCACATTTTCATTATAGCATAACAATATGTTTAAAACTCCAAACATGTACTTTCAAAATAATCAAATGTATACACAATAAGAAAACTTAAGATATACCCTTAAACTAAATGAATGTTTTAACACTCTACATGATATGTGCATAACTCAGCAAGGTATACCTTCATAGAACAGAACTTCAAATTAATTATTATGAAATATCTGAAAACTGACCCATGCCATGAACTTCCCACGGCCACAGCGCGGACATGATGCTCCCTCCAGAGAGGGAATGCTCCACCGCAGCAACATCTATGCCTCTGGCAGAGTCGTGTACCAGCTGGTTGTACTTCAGTATCTCCTGGTTAAGGCGCTTTTTGTCGTCTGCAAGCTCCCTTCGAAGTCGATGGCGGAGCTTGCTGCTGTCTGAAAAATACATGAGGTAGAGGGATAGGGATATGTGACAAACTATATTTGCAAGTGCAAAAAATATATATAATTCAGTAGGTTGAATCTGCAACCTAAAACATTATATTGTTATACCATTCTGTCGGTAAAGGGATTGCTTCCGCTGCCTCACACTTAGGTAAAGCCCCTCAATGCTTTGCTGCAGTGCTGTTTGAAGGATGTCTTCAGAAGTACCCGATGTTTCTGATGTTCCTGTAGAAATAATAGTGCCAGTAAAATGTACTGTTACACAACACGTAACGGTTTTGAGAAACAAAGTTGTGTAACACCTTTTAACACAAATTGATGGTACAACTATGGAAACTGGAACATATCAGAGATAAACATGGACACATAGTTGGCTTGCTATTGCTTGAAGATTATGTCCCCGTCTACTGAAATCCAGTGAGGGTCCCATTACGTGGCATGAAAAATCAGCCTTATATCATTGGCTGCTCTTTAGGATCAAATCTGTAAATTCAAACAGTCATGGACAATGATATGTAGCTGGTGTTATCTCGTCGTGCTTACCAGATGCCCATTCCTTCACGTCGGAAATCCACGTCGACACCATGTCATCTGAGACACAATGTAGCTCCGTCTTGAGTTCCTCAAGACTTGCAGTCTCTTCCAGGAGCCTCTTACTAGTCTGATAAACAGTAGACGATGGACATTTATCAAGATTAAAACTTGCTATGATTAACAACAAGCCATGTGCAAATGACAAAGGACACAACACCTTTAATAGGAGGCTCACCTTCACATATCTTGTGGAAAGTGCCTGATGAAGGGAGTCACCTTTTTTCCTGTTCCATCCCATAGCATGCACTGTGAGCATGTCCAGTCGTGCTTTTGAAAGCAATAATGAGGTTATGATGTGTCATCTAAAAAAGTATGCAATAATAGGGCAAAACCTTCCACTCACCAGCTTTGGACATGTATTTGGTTGTCAGGGCACAACGGGACAGGTAGCTGTTGACCTGCTCCACCTCTTCCCCGGCGGTCATCCCTGCTCCCTCCTGGTTCTTCCCACTCCATATAATCTGATGGTAAAAGGTTGCTGGAATTGTTGTGCAAAGAGGCTACATACTACTATACTAAACAGTATATCTTAGATATTTACTACTTCAGTATTATAAATATAAAACATATAAATGTACGTGATACAAAAATATTTCACATACCTCGCATTTGGTAGCATGGGCTCGAGCATGCATTACACTGAGGAATGGCTTCATGGTGGTCAGCTCCTGGAGAGCAGGAAGGACACTTGCAGCTTTCTCCATGTACGGCCAGTACTTGCAAGCCACATCCATGGCGAAGAACTTGGCTTTGGCTGGCATGAGTTCCTTTTGAAGATACAGGGGGTAGGCGAATATCTCCCCCCTGTACATATTTAAGGCCTTCAAAAGAAACCCATGGCGACATACAGCCACCTCCATCCCTTCTTCATCCAGCTTAGAAGCCCTCCTTGACGTCTCCCTCGCTGCTGTCCACTGGGAGTCCCCACATGTGCCTCTTCCCTGGGTCTAAGACATGCATTACATCATGACAAATCAGTTAAAAGCAATGGAATCACAATCTACACCATTTGTTCTAATTATCTGATTTTGGAGTAGATGGTAAGGAGAAGTAGCTGAATTTGAAGAAAGTCTAGGTCGGATATACATGGCTATTTTTGTGATATACCTATAAGGTAAAATGACGAATAAAAACTTGCATTTTTCAGTGATCTCTGTATTTTGTCGACAAATGCAGCCACCGCGCTGTCTTCTGCTACAAAGAGCCCATTAAAAAAGGCGCTGCCATCAGAACTAAGGAAAAAAAGATTAGCAAATATATCCATGAAATATAAACAGTAATCAAAAAAGTTAAATAACAACATTGTAAAAACAGCACCTTCCACTTCGCCGAAAGCGATAGAGCTTCCTGTTTCCATCGGCAGAAACAGCCAACATCTCCGGCGTGCAGGCAGGGCAGATGAAAGGAGCACCACAGCAGAGCTGGTCTTCCTCATACGAGGCATAGGAGAACTCCAGAAAGCTGCGCTGCAGTGCATCTCCGTTGACAGGTCCAGACTGGAAGATAATTACATAATTGCTGTGATTTTGTCTATTTTCGGAAATGTTATAATGTATAATATGGTAACGAATATTTATACTTACTCTTCCTCCACACTTTGTGCGATGCTCCAGCAGCTTTGCAAAGGCCTGTCTGGAGAATCCCGGAGAGATGACCTTGAGCTCTTCAAAGGAGCTCATGAGGTCCAAGGTGTAAAGTGTGGAAATACTGACCGAAGCTGGCCAGTATCCACTCTTAAGGAGGACTTTCAAGTCGGGGGTCCACTGCTGCTGGCAAGTTTGACAGACATATAGTGGCAGATGCAAGTCATAACGCCCTTGGAACAAGTAAATAAACATAATTAAGACACATTTTACAACAGTTCCATCTACAAATAGTCAAAGATTAACAGATATTACATGAAGGTTTTACTCCAATTGGAAGCACAATGCCTCAGCCCACAACAGTAAAAATATAACAACAATTCAATAGAAATCCAAATATATATTTATATTTGTTTACCATTGATGGTAATTAAAATCACTGGTTTGCCTGGTACCACAGTGAAGTTTTTGCTTTTACAGGAGCAGTTGGGTGCCTTCACAGTTGGCAATATGCAAGCTGTCAAAAAAAAAAAAAAAGCACTAATTACCATTATCTGCTGGCCGAAGAGACATGTGAACATCAAAATGCAAGTTTGAGAGAGCATACCTTGGTCATGGGTGTCATATCCACCTTCCACTCTAACAACACACGTTGTTGGACTAATTGGTTTAAAAAACCCATTCATTAAACTGTCCCTGTTGTGGAGTGGCTGTTTCTTGTGATGAAGTACATCACAGTCTCCACAGAACCACTCCTCGGGGAGACACTCTCTACACCTTGGGAGGAAATACAAAATGATTATAATATCCTAGAATTACTTTCATTTTCATGTGGGTTTTCTCTAGGTATCCAGTTTTCTAACATCCCAAAAGTCATGCATGCTAGCTGAAATAGCAGAGCACTGAGCATTAATACTGAAAAATTACAATTAGGTAAAGTAATTTAAATAAAGGTAAATGTTATCTCACCTAATAACAGCCGGCTCGTGGCAGAGGCCACACAGGGGATGACCAACAGCCTCTTTTTCTAGAAGGCATTGTAGGTGGTGTGGTCTCGCTTCTTTCCAGCGCCCTGAGGCTTTCTGCTGCCGAAAAGACCAGGATGAGGCAGAGCTTCTTTGAGGCTCAGGAGGAGGACATGAGGAAAGAATGTCAGAGAGTCTCTCCATATTCTTTTCTGTGAACAGAATGGGAAACTTTAACGGTACGTCTACACAGCAGCGTTAAAAAAATCTTGGAGGTGGGCGTATCTGAAGCTTGAGGATTTTTTGCGAGCAACCAATCACATGAATCTCCCGCCCGCGACATACGAAGCAAAAAAGCCCGAAGTAAACTGGATATAAACTCCCCAAAACAGGCGAAATGGAAACCCCCTTAGCTTCAGCTAGCATGTGTTCATGCTTCAGCTCAAGAGCCATGCGTTTCCCTTCTTTGGATGTGGGATTATTGGGGTCTGGGTTGTGTTTTGTTGCCATTGCAACACAGCCAGCCAGCCAGCCAGACAGACACAACAGATATGCAAACAAACAGCTGCTGTATGAGACAGACAGAGATAGTGAGACAGATTGTAAGATTGAGATAGATAGATGAAGAAATAGATAATGAATGATAGAAAAAGATAGAGACAATAACTATAAGAAAGCTAGGTAGATAGACAGAGAGATAGGTTGAGTTTGGCTCTTAAAAGTGCCGTTGGTTTTATGATGGTGTAGATCAGTGTATGGGTTTGTGGTGTGGGTACAGGAGCTGCAGGAGAGAACAGAAAAAGTGAATTATGTAGTGAAACTAGCTTTTTTAAATGCACATTGTGACGGTTTAACTACTTTAGACAGACTGAGTGAGTTCATTTACGTGTTTCCTGTTTCAGACGCGTAACAAGCACATGGACGTGCACATGGACTATGCCCCTCCCCCCCAAACATATGTTAAATGTCCGCTCGGCAGCGTTAGTACTGTCATGTGTAAAACAAAAGCGATTAAGATAACGTATAACTCACACTTTAACACCGAAGTATGTAGCCGTAATTAAGACAAATATTTTCCACACACCACTTGAGCTGATATAAATGTAGCTAAACTAGATTAAGCTTACGTTGAACGTGAGCTAGCTAGCTAGCCGCCCGCAAGAATAATTTCACATTAATGTTGCTTTGCTGATTATGGCGAAAGCATTTCTCAGACTTAGAACAGTTCATTATGTATGATGAACCATGCGAGTAAAGGCTTAAAAAAAAGCCCCAATTATTAAATCATGCATCAGACTTTAGTGACACAACTTACTTTGTCAGAGGATGGATGCAATGCCGGTGGCAGCGGTCTTTGGCCAATAGGTGGTGCTCTGAATTATGTCATTTCCTGTACCGATTATACAATAAAATATTAATACATTTCCTATATTTTGACACAATAACTCTTTAATAACCTAAGTAGCCTACAGACAAAAACAAAAAAGTATATATTGCCTTATAAAATGCAGAAAAGTGTAAACATCTAGCATGATAATAATAAAATAAAAGACTAATGATATCTTAAACCTTAATAAATAAAATGGAAAATTAACCGACAACAACAATTTAACATAAATAAAACAAGGATTAAAACAAGGATAAGTTTGACTCAATGTTATGTAAAGTACCCGTTATGGTTAAAAAAAATAAACATTAGAAAATAATACAGCTTCCGGCTTCCCGACACACGAAGAGGAGACACGAACAATTCTTCCACTTAAAATGCATTACTTTGAAAATCGTGCTTTCTGACACGAAAGAAACGTGTGCATAAACACCATATCCCTACGTGCATTGCGGCTAAAACATCCAATTACCGCTGAGGATTATTGAAAAGTCCTAAATCTGTTTCTGGTATTGTTTCGGACTTTATTTTGAAATTCAGTTCCTGACGGACGTCAAAAAAGCCCGAGATTATCGAATTAAACCAATAAATAAAAACAAGGATAATTGTGTGTTATTGTTGAGTAAATAACAGTGTGTTATTTTGAAAAGAATAACAAATTAGAAGGAAAAAAAGATTTTAAAAATACAGATTTCAGTATCCTGAGGCTCTGAGCCCCATTTCTTTTCCTCACAGACGGCAACAAAAGTCCGAAATGATACGATTTTAAATAAAAGCAATAATCGTGGCTTGATATTGAGTAAGAACATGTTTTTATGAACCACACAGCTTCCGGTCTTCCACGACCAGACCGAGAAAAAGACGTGTTGCAGGCACGAAACACATTACCAATAGAAATACATTGCTTTTAAAATCGTTCTGTGTGACACGAAAATAAGGGGATAATCGTGGTGGTGCACACGAATCAATAGATTAAATAACGTGACTATAACACGAAATGCCGTGAGACTGGGTTGATACTGCGCAAAATACAGATAGCAGGAGACAGAGGACAGCCATGGTCAGAGCTATCTGGATCAGTCTTATGCGACAATGAAAACTGAACTAAAGAGAACATTTGAAACTTTAGCAGTCTGCGTGATCTGCCTGTAGGGAGGGGCGGGCCGGCCCTGCGAGTAAAGTAACGAGTAAAGTAACGAGTTACTTTATGTAGAGAGTAACGAAGTAGTGTAATATATTACTTTTTTTTAAAGTAATATGTAATATGTAATATATTACTTTTTTTTAGTAACGACCCCATTTCTGTTTGTGACACAAGTGACAGTACGCATTTCAGATTGTTGCCGCGCATGCGTACCTGCGTACCAGTTATGTGCACCCCTGTTTATAGCATTACTTTAGGTTAATGTTACAGTCCGCATTCCTAGTCCTTTTTCGCAGAAGAACAGTTTGACTTGTCAAGCAAAGCCTGATGTAAAAATTGCATTTATAATGGCTAAATTCCATTGCTAATGCTAGTAGGTGGCATATAATATAGCCCTCTGTATGTTTCACTGTAGTGTAAGAATGCTAAAAGTTAAAACCTTATTTGACAAACGTCCTAAAATCACATAAGCAGCATTATCCATTTTATAACAAGTAAACATTTATTTTCAAGCTGTATCTGTTGTATATGTTAACGACTTTTACAATAAAACAACCACTGTCCTCTGGGGTTGTTCAAGACACCAGGCAATGCAGGCATTATAATTTAACCTGTTAAACCCTGAGCCTGTTTTTCAGGTCTCAGGCTCGAAAATGACATTCCCAGAACAAATTAATATAACTTCACTTCTAAAAGGGGTAAATTAATAATATTTTTTCTCAAAGCAATGATAAACCTGTGAGAAGGATGTAGAAAAGTCAGAATCAATATAGAATCTTTTTTATTTTAAAGTAAATTCAGATTGAACATAGTAAATACATTTAAATCATAGTTTCCGTCCAAAAAGAAAATATTACTTATAGTGAAAACCACCCTTGAATGATGGGATAGTAAACTAAAAGCTTTAGGAATCCAAACTATAACATATAATAAGTACCCTGTATCAAGATTGATGCAAAACAAGTGACATTTGACCTTTTTAGAGAGATTAAGAAAAAAAAAAACACTTCTGGGCTCATTTGGGTGGATTTTCCATATCTCTGCACCCATCGGTCGATTTTGATGATTGACAACTCTTTTTAACCGTTAGAGCCAATAGAATCGAGGGGAAGTTCCTAAAATCCATCTAAACATTACCCATTGGTGAATAGAGTGATGCGCAGCCAGAATGCCCAAAACCGGAAGCTGTCATACACTCTCGTAGCTATCATAATAGCTATATATGAAAACTCAGTTTTTGCCATAAATTTGACGATGGATTATCAGTAATCATTACAAAGTGACACAGACACATTGGATTAGTATGCTAAATGAGGCTACAAAGCTTAGTTGCGTTGAGGATTACTGAAGTATCGGATCATAATTCTCAGTGCAGGTAATTCAATCATCTTTCATGTTAAACATAAAACACGTTTATTACTGCAGCTTTGAAGTAACTACTTTGATTAAATTAAGACATTCAATGACTAGCTGTCTGTGAATTCCTGAAGATAGCTTTACTATCATGTGAAATTCATGTATCAGATTCCCACAGCGATTCCTACAAGAATCCATTACCTGACATATCTGTGGGTAACCATTTGTCTCTTTGTTTCTCTGCTCAATTTAAAGTCATCCTTCTATCTTTTCTTTGTCTCCAGCCGAGATTGGTAAGACAAGCTTGGTTGAATTGGCTTTGAAATGGCAGGGAAGGGAAGAGGCAGTAAAAGAAGAGGATTCTGAATAAAAGAAAAAGGCTTATCGCAAGAGCTGATCAGCAAGGACGATTTCAACGCTCCACTGACTTATTTTTTACCCCTTTTCTGATTTCTTAAGAGAAAACACAGCGTTGTCTTGTCATTGGCTTAACATCTGTGTGAGTGTTGGGGGACATTTTGCGGACAGATTTGTTGCCGAGGTAAAAGCTGTTCTGCTGTACATTTTTTATGTATGGCCATTTTTATACTGGTTCACCGTTAAATAAAGATGA